ATTTTAATATACCACCTGTAGAGAAAATATCAGGTTTAATACGAAAGTGAATTTTGTGTGGTAAAAGAGACATCTATCGAGAATGATAAAAATCAGATTTGTATTCTTAATATTTTGGCCCATGTTTCAACTAAATAACAAAACTCAAAACCGTTAAGAGAATCATTTGCTTTATTTTTTAAAACTTGTCTCTTTCATTTTATCCCACTTATGGAAAACAATTATCAGAACATGGAGAATTTTTTTAAGACCTTACTGGTGCTGTGAGGTCACTGCAGCCAAAGCCATTACCCCATTTCTTCTCCAACTTTCTATGGATGCCACCAACTCTCATATGGGTGTGATCCTGTGCAAGTATTGTAAAAGAATAACATCCAATTTCCTGATTTATAAGTAATACTAAAGTTAAATAAAGAATATTTTGCCCTAAACAATTACCAGACTATATGATGAACTTTTTAATATGTAATGTTTCCTGTAGGACTAAATAATTCATGACTTATTATTGGCATCATGCTCTTTGTGGCATTTGTGCAACTTAGAGCAATCATTTTTAAATTTGGACTTCTTTTTTAAGGAACAAAAGTTTAAATTAAATTCTGGGAGGTAACATACAAAATAATTATCTTTTACTGCAGACATATTTGTTATCAAAAGAATTTTTGTACATTTGTATTTTCAGTTGTTTATTTTTGCCATCTTTTAATTGGCAGTTTTGTTTTCTCAACACCTACCATTGCTTGTGTTTTGAAGGTAATTTCTTTCTCTGAATCGAGTAATACAAACTAAACCTCAAAGATGCCAAATTAAATCATTTATTTACTCACCGATGAAAAACATCATCTTAGTTATTCTATGTTTTGTATGTACCTATCAAATTCTAAAACAGAGTATCTTGTATTCTGTGTTTTTATGTGATGGGCTGCGTTTTATAGAGCACATACTTTTATACAGCAATACTGTGAATGTTCTGTGTATTATATAATGTGAAAACATGTACTTAATTTTGTGTTAGATAAAAGAAAAAGTTGTGTTGGTGGTGATGGGTTTTAAACAAAGTAACATTGAAACTACTAAGAATAATTACAAATAAGTGTGATTGAAAGATACATCTTAACTCAATATTCAATTTTGCTTAAAACAAATTTTTGAAAAAATCTTGGTTTCTGTGTTTTTGCATGGCATACCCAAGCAATTTGCTGATTTGATGACAAGCATGAATTTCATTTTATTATGTTCTATGATTTCAAATTCAATTATTTATGTCACTACTCAATTATTTACTATTCAATTATTATTCACTATTCACTAATTGAATAGTGAATAGTATTTGAATGTGAAATGAATGTGAAAATTATTCACATTCATTTTTATTTGTATTACATTCATTTCAATTTGCACTACTATTACTTGATTTTAATTTGTTGAAATATTGAATAATGTTTATCCTCAACCTTCCATTTAATTCTTACTTAAACCTTTCATTTAATACACACAAATCATTCATAATTTCCTTTTATCTTTGTTCATCTTTCAGCAAGTTTTCAGGAGAATACACATGTGTAACTTAACAATTTGTGTAGTTTCATACATGTCCTCTGAATGTTTGTTTTTAACTGCTTTGTTATTGTAAAAATTGGTACCAATTATGTCTAAATCCATACAAAAAAATTAAAATTTTGATTGATTGCGAGTTTTTTCCTTAATGTGAAACACAATGAATGGAGTTAACTTTCATAACATTCATTATCATTTGTTGGATCTTTGTTGCTGAATATTTCTTAATGTAATGGCAACTAATTCAGTTTCATATTAATGGATAGCCTTGTGGAAATTAGTAATTTGTCAAGTGGGATATCATAATTTTATGTAAGCCCCTATATGAAAAAGTGCTGAAATTTTATTTTATATTAGATAAATAAATTCTCTTCTCAATGCTAATAGATTAAATGGCATAATGCAAAGAAGTAAAGCAGAGTTATTTATTATCGAAAAAACATTTTTCTGACAATGCATATTAGTTGCCAATTTGCCATCCAGATGTCACTAGATGTAAATGTCAGCAAAAATGCTGTTTCTGTTTTTAACCCATCAGTGCTGAGTGTTACCATCTGGTAACAAAAATCCTGCATAAATCAGAGCATTGTTTTACAACCTATGTTTCAATGTTTAAGATTGACAATGCTGTTAGGTGTTATATTCATGCTCAGTCATCTGATTGTTGGTTGTAGTTCTATATCCTGTGGCTTGTAGTGTCATTATCGTTTATCTGTTTCATGGTTTATGAAATTGCCATCAATGTTGCGGAAGGATATCAATGGATGTTGACAAAGAGTAAATATTTCTGACATTCATATATTATATAGCGTTATTTTTGTTGTGCATATAAGATAGTAAGTAAATGCTATCATTAACTATTAAATGCTATCATTAACAGTTAACTGCTATAATAAACTATTTAATTTGAAAATTCCTACTAGAAAGTGGCAAAAATGCTTTGCAAATAAAGTATTCCCACATAGTAACACTGGACACTCGCCGGTACTAAAATATATTTTTCTTGTCCTAGGGCATTGGCAGAAATACTTGCCCTGAGCTTGAGTGTAAGAGAAGTCCTTAATTTGCTAAATGATAATACTGACATCCAAGATATCTATATAGCACCTCCTGAACCTGATATTTTGACTGATGAGGAATTTGAAGATAAAGATTGGGGAGGAACTGCTGATAACATGAGTGGCAGGAAGCTTTTGGATGATAGAGAAATCAAGTTTACAAAAGAAAAATTAGCATATATTGATTTTGATCTGTTTGAGGGCACACACACTTGGATTGAAGGAGATTTTTAAAATACTGATATACCATTTCCTCTCCCAAATGATTCATATATCTCTGCAAAATCACCTGTAGAAATATGGGAATTATATTTAGTTAAAAATAATTTCTGGTCTGGTTGAACAAAGTGATTCTTTTGTGCTTTTTAAAAATGTTCCCAAAGCTGATATTACAGAAGATGAAATAAAGTTCTTCACTGGCATACTTATAGCAAGCACATATAATGAGAAAATCTTTATTAAGATACAAAATCTGACACTACGAATGACTTAATTGCAGATGAAATGAAGCATAATTGATTTGAGTCAATTTCATGTTTCTTACACCATGAAGACAATGAATAATATGATTGAAATGATAATCTGTGGAAGATAAAGCCACTCATAAATTTAGTAAAATGTAACTGCAAGAAATATTTCATACCTGAGAAAGAACTTGCTTCTGATGAGAGCATGGTGAAATACTATGGGAAACAATGTAAACAGTTCCTAAGAAGAAAACCAACCTTATTTGGAGTTAAAGTTTGAAGTTAAAATACTGTGCAGGGATATCTGATAAATTTTGAGATATATGAAGGAATGTCACCTCAACAAAGCAACAAAATCAGCAATGCATTTGAAAAATCATCATCGCCACTTAAGCAAGTGATAAAAGAATTTCCAAATGATGGTAATGTTTACCATTTCATTTCTTCTGTGATAATCTGTTTAGCAGTCTAGATTTATTGGGTTACATAAAAGAAAAGGGCTTTCGTGCGACTGGAACGAATTGAGAAAACAATTCTTCCAATTGCCCAATTCCAGAAAATATGCAACTAACTACAAAACAGAGAGGGTATTTGGTTTCAACCATTAGCAAACATGATGGTGTTCTTGTAGCAAAGTGGATTGACAATCCTGTGGTATCTATTGCATCATATACATTTGGAATAAACTCTATCTCCAAAACAAAAAAGGTACTCCTAGAAAGAGAAAAAAACACGTCACTTGTTTGAGGCTATTTCTGATTACAGAATATAATGAATTTATAAATGGGACATACCGCATGGACCAAAATGTGATGCAATAACAAATAAACATGCCGAACAGGAAGTGATAGGCACTGGCAACTGATTACTTGGCTTATTGTTGTCATTATTCCCAATGCTTGGATAATCAGTAGAAAATATGGAAGAAGCATTTACCAACTAGACTTTAGAAGAGAAGTATCCATTTTATTTGTAAAGGTACAAAACACTACAAAAAATTCCTAGTTCAAAGAGGATCAATTCATCAAATAACTTCATCAATGAAGTTAGGCACAATGAACTCTAATATGACAGATATGATCACTTCATTGAAAAGGTACCAGAAGGTAAAAGGAGATGTGCAGGAGAAGCATTCATAGTTCGTGCCTAACAATGTATGGAAAATGCAACGTTGGACTCTGTGTCCAGTGTTTTAAAACATCACATCAAGTGAAAACAAAAGTGAACCCTAAAGTAATAAGACATTTACATTCCATATATCTTTGTTTCATTACCTAATGAAATAATAAAAAAATTGAATAAGTTAAGAGCCCAAAATTACCATATAGTAATGCATATTCTTATTATGAAGTGTTACCATATGGTAATGCCATAGATTAATATTCATCCATGGTAATGCTTCATAAATTTATAAAAGAAATTTAAAATAAAAAATATTCTGGGCACTTATGGGATAAGAAGAACTTCTCAAATGCAAATTGCATTTCTGATTTTTCTCTTTTTTTTCCTTTGCTTTTTCTTTTTCGTTTTTTACTGTTAACATTTATATTTTTTACAATGGATTTATATTTTTAAAAGTTAAATAAATGCCTTTTACTATTACTTGTTTGCTCATAATTATTCTTCATGATTGTACCATATTCCTAGCTCTTGTCATTAATGACTAACCTCCCCACCCTGAGTACTGTTACCTATTCCTAAAACTTCAATGCGTTAATTCGTTTTTTGTAGAAGTAACAAGGTATAGAGCGATTTCTCAAATAAATATATTAAGACAAAATAAAGAAATTAATTAATCAAGTAATACGAGAAGGTTGATAATTTCTTGTACATTTTTATATGTAGGCTTGCAAAAATAGTTTAATTTTGAACTGCCGCTAAATTTTTGACAATGAGAAGTCGCCCATCTATACTCTACAATGGCGCTCCCCGTGGTTATGTTTTGATCTTAAGGTTAATAACATACGCAATCGCGACGTGTGGTACTAGTGTGCAGCAGTGCAGCTAGTGTGTGTGGATGGTGGAATGTGTAAACCTATATAACCTGCCTTGGGAATTGACGTTATATCATTATTATACTCTTTGGTAGAGTCTCTTGAAAAATGAGGCCTTCATATACAGTGTCGTAATGTTATGTTGGTCAAGGCAGTTGGAATTGCGACATTTGATTTGGTCGCGTTTTTCTCATTAACCAGAGATGGCAGGTTCACAGCATTCTTATCCAACGGGATTTCCTAATTCCCAACAAGGTGCTTTAAGAAGTCAATTCGGTACCGGTCCACCTATCGGTGGTTTGTTGGGTTCTGTTCAACAGACAGGCAAGTAAAATCATTTATTTTCCTACTCAATCATCACAGTATCAGCATCTTGTGCATGTGTATTTGACCGGTTAATGGAAATAGAACGAATTAATGCCATATGAAAAAGTTGAATTCCTTTGATTCTCAATTTACATCAATGTCGGCGTTGATTACACAGTTTTACACTTCAATGGTTGTCAACAATACTTTGTTAATGCGATAATGTTTCATTTGAGCTTTTCAAATTTTACAAATACGGTAATACCAATTTCCATAGGAATGGTTGGACAGCAAGCTTATGGGGTTGCAATGCAGCCCAATGCCCAGCAGTCTCTTGTTCAACAACAGCAGCAGCAACAAAATCAGCAGCTGCAGATGCAGCAGCAGCAACAACTGCAACAGCAGCAAATGCATCAATTACAACAACAGCAGGTATGTTTGAAAGTTTAATTATTGCCAAGCGAGAGTTTTGCAATTCTCAAATTTACTAGATGGGAAGAAAATATTATGAAGTTGTTAAACTTCAGTGAAGAAAATATAATCAATTCACTGTATTCTATGTCATAATCCACAACTTACATTCAGCACAAAGTGCGCATGTTTAAGAACAAAAAATGTAAGCATATGGTTATGGAATGGTATGTGTAGTGATTTCTATTGTATCCTCAAATTCTCTTTCGAAAAAAACCATTGGTACCCTAGAAACAATTGGGAAGAATAGGTTAATGACTGTTCCTCTTATAAAAGATGATGGGAAGGAGGAGGAATATCAGATACTACTGTGGCTGCAAGATGGAATGACAAGAGCTATACTATTGTAACCAATTGGTGAGATGGAGTGAGCAGTAACACTTGAAACTAATTGCTTATCTGACAGTATAGTACGCTGGGTGGTTGCCTAAAGAAAAGAAAAATTGAAGTACTTCAAATAACAAAAGTTGCTGATAGTAATTTGCAGATTATGATTATTTTCTTTTATATAAATAATAATGTTCATATGTTGGTAGTTTTAATCTGATCCTGATGAAATTTTGCATACATGACATTCATAAATAGTAATATAAAATAATTAAAATTTTGATATATTGTTGTGTGTCGATCCGGATAGCAGAAATCGCTAAGGCAGTAGTGTTGTGGCAAACTCGGATTGAAGGATCGCGGGTTTGAATCCTGCCTCAGACATTGATGAGACATTGATGTTTTTGTAATCATACCTTCACTCATCATCATCCTATTACTTTATTAAAAAAGTATTAATAATTCGCTGCACAAGCAGGAGGCCTTTTCCCTTTTTTTGGGGTGTGCAGTTGGCTAATAAAAAAAGAAGAAGCATGATTTAACAAAATTAAATTATATTGTTTATCAAAAATTTTAAAATTAATTGTTTGTTAGTTGATACTAGTGCCATTTTGTTTGTTTTTTGATCATATGTTTGGCAACTTGTTTAGAGAAAATTTGTCAACGTTGCAGAAAGTATACATGTAAAATGGAAAGCAGATATCAAAGGGAGACATCAAATTAATATTCTCTTCAAGAAAGTACCTCCTTTTAAATTCACCCAATTAAAACAACAACAAAATGTGCCCCGCCGCCAAAGATGCCACTCAGTATCAATTTTGCAGTGTTCAGGCCAGGGTGGTTGGAGGGTCTTAGTTGTTTCTGGTATCTTTTTCCAGCAAAGATCTCTAAAGGTTCCCTGTCTAAATAAAAAGTCCTTTAATTTTTGTAAAAGTCTATTTTTGTTTATTGTCAAAACAGTAAAAAAAGATTCCATGTGACAATTTTTACTTCACTATTATATTTGAAAGAGGTTTCAAAAGTAAACCAATCACTCTAGATAGTATCTCAAAATAAATGTAACTTCCATTAAAAATAATTAGTTTAATTGCGAGTGGCCTGAATGCGGGTGACATGTTGTTGCTCAAGACATTCATTTCGAATGAGGGTATATTTATTACTTCATAAGGTTTTGATTTGATTTATTTTCGCCAAAGAGCAGTATAAACTGTATGTGACTTAAAGTGAAGTACAATTGTGCACATTCTCTGGAGATACTAAATCTCTTCTTCACCTTTTAAGCATAAATAGTTCAATTATGAATAAAAGTACCAAGTGAGGCTAGCAACTTAAGAACACTAGACGTTTTCTTGTCAAGTAATAGGAAACTTATTTGAATGGGTCGCCATAAATTTGGGAGCAAATTAGGACAATCAACAGTCATTTAAAATCAGAAAAATGTTCATGATTTATTTCTAGCACTTCCCATCTTCTCAAAAGGATTTTAAGTATATGCAATTTTAAAACAGAATATCCATTGATGTCAGGTCATTCACCTCTCTGTCATTATCTTTTAAAATAACATTTTGAACAAATTTTCTAGTTATAAAGTCGTATTTTTTAGTACATTCCACGTTGCTTTTGTTTTGTAATTTGAGTTCAAAATATCCTGATTGTGTTTCATAATTTTAGACTGCCTTATGACTTTTCTTAAGGAATTAATTAAATTGAGAAACTGCTATTTCTCAAAAGTTTTGACAAGAAAATGAGTGTTAAAATCTTAATTAGCTCTATAGATTAGGTAAATGACGAAATCTGTTTGAGATAGGGGTTATTGATCCAGAAGCTGGCGGACATTACTTGCTACAGGGAAATTGAGTCTTTATAAAACATAATAAAATATATCAACTAATACATTACATATCATTGTTAAAATAAATATTATTTTTCTAATGTATTTTGGTCAATAGAGTATATAAGTATAGAAACAGTAAAACAGCTGAAATGATTTTGCTTTGTACTTAAACTTGTGTATTGCTTTTAATTGTTTAAAGTTGTTGGCATTGTAATGTAAAGTAACGTACATCTTTATACAGTATTCAAGTAACCTCCGTCCGTCCAACATTTGATCTTTTCCGACCTCCAATGAAGACAAATGAAGTGTCATTCGACGTGTCTTGGTCATCTGCTGTGGATCTTGTGATTTGTTTTCGAATCCATCCAGGAGATTCTAAGAAATTTCTCCAGAACCGTGTTTTCGCGTTTTTTAGCACTGCAATCTTTGTTGGCCACGCTGTTCGCTGGAGATTGTTTCACTCAGACGCCACTGTTTAGTTTGCGATGATGTTGTCGTTTTATGGGACACTTTTGTGTATAGCTTATGCGATAGTACTGATGGGATAATTTCCTTTTGTAGGAAATTTTCAACTATAAAATTGTATTATAATGTATATCCATAAGAATGGAACGGTGAATTGTAGAGTAGCAGCTTGCAAGTCTACAAATTTTCTGGAATATGCTATCTGATAATATTATGAAAGAATGTTCTCCAGAGCCTGGCAATAAGAGTTTTTCTGTCGAAAAATACTATTTTTCCTGCAACATTACAATTCTTTCTCAATACAGCAAAGTAGTATGTGTGTAAAAATATTGTTTGTTTTTTTAATTTCATCAATGAAATGAGACTTAAATATTTCATGCAGACTACCTTGTTTTGTATATTCTTCCTGAGAGACTGAGCTTTAGTCTCCTATTTTTTGAGCACTCTAGTATGTGCTCTTACTTAATGGGATCAGATGCAAATAACAACTCAACTACTTTTTTAAAAAATTACCATTTATTATACTAAAAATGGTGTTGCTTGTACCTCGCAAACAACTTGTACCAAGCATTTTAATAATTGCTTCGGTTCTCAGAAGCATTCATTCCTGTGGTTTGTTTTGGCATTAATAATTCTTTGAGCAGCCGCATCTATAGTTTTACAACATTTTAACTTAAGTTCATTTGTAGCCATGATTTTGGGCCTGAATATAATTTTTGGTAATTTCATGCTATCTTAGTTTCACAGAGATGCTTCCAACTTTTAAAAGCCTTGTTTCAAAGAGAACTATTTTTACAATAAATGATAGTACAACAGAAGCAGTAAATGAAGTCTTGTGAAAGAGAGTACTCTTAAGTAGTCTCATAAAACATGTTTTCCATTGTGTAAAATTTGTGTGTAATAATTTGTCCTAAAATGTCAACTAGTATCATTGGAAGGAAATTTGTTATTGTGCCCTGGTTTAGGTAGACCTCTTCTGTTATAAAGAAGAAAAGAAAAAAAAACTTTCATTGTCTCTTTAACTTCTTGGCCATACGTGTTCTCAAAATGTGTGAAACACATTGTGCCAATTGTGTCAATTGTTTTCATGGCTCGCATATAGTGATAATAGCCTGAATGCTTTCAGTTATAATTGATTTAGAAACTTCATCCATTTGTTTAATATTGGTTTGTGAGGTATCGGATTTTCTTTTATTACTAGATTTGATGTTGAATTTGTTTGGTACAACTTTGACTGTATTATTTTAATTATTTTAGTGACTTTTGTTTTTGCCTTTCAATTTCTTTTTCCAGCATTATTGGCCATGATGTTGAGTGTGGTTGAGAAAGTAAAAAAAAAAAAAATACTCCAAACATCAGTTTCATTGAATGTCAAGGGAGATTTAACTTTAAGCCCATAACCAATATTTTGTTTAACCAATAATTTAATGCCAAATTTAAGTTGGATATGTTGAATGCTAATGGTGTGTGTGAAGAGTAAAGAAAGACCAACCTGATGTTGAAATGGGTCTCTCTGTGTCCACCAGGCAGTTGCCCAGCAGCAGCAAGTGAACCAAAGCAACCAGCAACAGCAGCAACAGCAACAACAGAGCGTCCAGCAGCAAAGCCAGTCCCAGCAGCAGCAGCCTGCGCAGAACAAAGAGCTCAACACTGCGTCCCTCTGCCGCTACGGTCAGGAAACTGTTCAAGATATTGTTTCCCGAACACAGGAAGTATTTCAGACTCTAAAAATCATTCAGGTTGGTTTCTTAAATTTCACACTTAGAAGGCAACAGAAAGGATCTTTATGGTTTGTTGGTGTCATAATGAAAATAAAAAAAATAATAATAATGAGAACTAGATCCAAGAATATTGATATGTACCTTCATTTGTTTTACTTTCTCATGTTCTACTTGAGAAAGCTCACCGGGAAAAATAATTTTCCAGTATCTGACTGGGCACTGGGTACTACCAAATATAATGTGATACTTATTTATTTATCCATTTATGATATACATATATGATATTGATTAATTTATTATATACAGAAAATTTACTAATGTATTGTATTTGACTGGTATCATTTGATTGTTGGTTGTAAATATTTTTTAAAATATATGGTAAGTTTATAAATAAGATAATGCATAATCAAAAGTGCTGAGTGCAAATTTTACGGGCCTTGACTTTTAAAACAATTCACTTGTTTCTGTGTGAACCTCTTCAATCTTAATGGTTTGGAAATTGCTGTTAACGACGTCCAAGAGAAGTTGCAAGTGTTTTTCAAGAAATAGGATAATTACAATATCGATTAGAGGTCATTGAATTGACAATATGTTTACAATACAAATCTTCTATAAATTTACCTAAATCGTAATTTGTGAAGTAAATTTACTTAAACTTATGATGTTATAATTATAGCATTTTGAGATTTCTTATTATTAAATTGTTTCTAACCAGGTGATAATGTGGGGTATGTAAGATTCGCATTGAATTGGAAAAGATGTGGAAATGCAGCAGACATAAATATTGAGTTTGAGTTGGTTCCTCGTCTACTAATCTGTAAGGTGATTTTCACAAATGAGCTGGTGAGGTTCTGCTGTCATTGATCTGGGTTGATCCTGCACCTTGAGGGTTTCCTTTGCAGCCTCCACCTCCCACCAAGCACAACATACTATTTTTGTTCATAACTTGTGTTACAATTTTCAAAAGCACATCAAAATTTAGTTGTTTCTGTTTTTGATTATGCTATACTATAGGCTGGTAAAGTTCCATAAAAATCAGTGTGTTTGACATTGTGTATGTTGTGTGTGAGAATTTTTTAAATCTTTAACTAATTCTTACCATTTATTAAAAATAAAATGGCAAATTGTGTAATTGTCAAGAAAATTATCTTGATGAGAATGTTAAAACATACTTCCCAAGTTGTCACTACTTTTTTTCCTTAAAAGCGTCATAATCATGATTTTTTCTTTATTTTTCGTCCCTCACTACCCTCTTCATATTCACATTTATCTTTGCTTTTTTTTTGGTCAATACCCTCAGCATATTTTTCTTCCCAAGTCATGAGTGCTGCATGAGAAGTTTCGCTTCAGAAGCCTCGTCTTATATAATATGTATTTCAATTGTTTTTTTTCTCTCTGTGGGTGGATACTTGAATAGGTCGTGTATGTTTCAGCCTCCTAATGGAACACCTCAAGGACTGAGTACGAGTTCGGAAAAAAAGGCCAAAGTACAAGACCAGTTGAGAACTATAAGAGTTCTGTTTAAAAGACTTAGATTAATATATGATAAATGCAATGAAAATTGTCAAGGAATGGAATATACACATATAGAGGTGAGTCTATTATTTTAAGTTTATTCACAAAGAAGCATGATTGAGTAGTCTCTAGTCTTTGGATGTTTAGAAAAATGCTTATTTTATTCTAATGAACATGAACATATTTAATGGGTTATACGTTAAGGATTATGGGAAACGAAGCATTTTGATCAAGTTTTATTGTTTCTAATTTGGATTTCTACATTTGTGTGTGCAAAAAGGGGGCTCCTCACACAAGCTTGCTTAGCAGACATCATTGATGCTTCTCTTGCGATTTTCTAGCTTGAGCTGTTTGCTAATGTTTGTTATTGTAGCTGGTGGTGTCGTAACTGGGAGGGACATTCTAGGTGGTGCACTACTGGTGACATAGGTGGGAGCAGTTACAAGCCACACAGGTTCATTTTATTCAGCCATTTATTGTTCCTTGGCCTTACTGCCGTCGCCCAACTCGATGCTCATGCTGCTCATCGCTATGAGAGGGGGAAGCAGTGGGGTTGGTGGCAGATAGGCAAGCAGGCAGCTGGCTGGTGTGGCTGTCACTAGTCACCGTCAAGGGGTTCCGAGGGGATCCACCCATGCAGCTACCATGGGGACTATCAAAGGACGCGCCCCATATCACGAGAGAGCCGTGGATCAGCCGAATCTAAGCCAGGCGAACTCAAGGAATGATGAAGTCTGGAGTCAAGGCACATTTGAGTCTTTCTGACTTGTTTATTTAGCGACGGGTCAGTCCATGTTGGCTGCGGGCGTGGCTGCTTGTGAGTTTCTAGGGAAGGGGGAGAAGGGGGTGTGTCAAGGTGAGTCCATGCTGATGGCTGCCAGATGTCCGGGAAAACCGTGTCTAGGGAAGGGGAGTGAAGGAGGGCAGCGGTGCTTGGGCTGTGCACCTCGTGGCCTTAACTTCACCACAGTTCGCACTCTTGTCACTTTGGACAGTATTACATGAACAGTCACTTCTCGCTGTCGGGTCTTCTCTCAATTGATCGTCCTCACTATACTTCAGAATATTCCCTTCTTGGCTTTTTGAGCTCCTTGCTCTACAAGCCTACATTGCTAAATACAATGTTTCCCCTCCAGTTTTGTTGTGTGTAATTACTGGCATGTCCATGAAATTCTATGCCATACTACACATATCGCCACCTGTTGTACTCTAAACTTTTACCATACATATCAGCTTAGTAACTCTTGGAAGTGTAACAATTATTTGAGAATAAGTTTCCCCATTTCGCTTTTATCTCTAGCTGGCTGTTCGAAGAGTTCACAGTCTTGGTAGCTTAACAAGGTGTACACTAGGTGGTTGGGGTTTGATTCCTGGTGGGGCAGACAGTTCTTTGATTAGTTAAATCATAAATTTATGTAAAATATTTTTTAAAATAAGTACATAGATTAGTTTAGAAAGTGTTTGGTAAAATTTTTGTACTTCTGTTTTTTAGAGCTTGATTCCATTAAAAGAAGAATGGGATATGAAATCAGATGAGAAAAAAACCTCTGAGTCATACCGACTGGCCTGCGATGAAAGCAAAGAAATTATGGAGGTAAGCTTGTGCTTAGGAAATGTTAATAATTGTGTTATATTTTGAACCTTACCTGTTCAGACGTTGTCTGATGCATTCGAAAGTCCTTGCCAACTTGTGCCAGCATTATTATGCTACAACCAAAAATTCTCAATATTTGTATATGTTTAGTAATATTAGCAAATAACTAATTTGTTTGCCTACTTTCATTTGTATTAGTTTTTATGTGAATCTTAATCTAAACCAATTAATACTAATTTGTTACGAGAGAACGATCTGCACATATTCTGCTGGCGTTTTGGTTAAGCTGCTACTTTGGTGCCACAACGTAAAGTGTAAATGATGAGTTACTGGCTGTCAGTAGACGACAGAGGGGCATTGAGTAGCATACATCTCCATGAAGTTAGTCAACCGTTGCAAAGACCTTCAAGGGGAATAGGTTTGACAGACAGGAGACACAAATAACCTTGAAATACCTTTCATGTACACATCATGCTCAATGATGCTCGTCACAGCGGTGGCAGGGTGAGCACTCTAATGAAAAACCTGCGTATTAGGCATTGCGAAGAGTTGGCATTTTTTTGATAAACATTTGTGACTTATTGAAATATACAAATATTTTAGTGCCAGTTTATATTTAAATAAACAAAGTTCAGTCTTCGATTTTTATAAAAGCTTTGTTCATTCACATCCAACCTTGATAATAGTCCGTGATCAAAGTATATAATAGTTATATTCTGCATGAAAACTTTAATGGTACAATAGACAGCTGCTGCGTTACAGATTGGTGAGGTGTAATGTATTTGACACGGTAGTGTTGGTGTCCCCTTACATAATGTACTTCTCGTCCTCTGTGATGTATTCTGTTTAATAATTAGGGATATTTTATTGACTGTTTTCATAAGTATTATTAATTAATCAATTTATAGTACTGAACTCTGATTTTTTTAAAAATAATTGTACGGAGATAGCATTCAAAACATAAACCCCTTATAGAAAATAACTTTACAGAGCAATGGTCCTCAATAACTTGTTAACTTGGTTTCAAGCATCCTTGAATGCGGCATTCAGATCTTAGGCTGCAGTGATGACAGGAAACCTTTATTGGTAAAGTGCACCTATTATACTCATTTGAGATGTACCGGGAGAGATGGCTCAAGTCATCAACTAATGTCACTGCAGTCCGTCTGACTGGGAGGTCCTAGGTTCAAGTCCTGACGATGGCAGGATTTTTGACACTAGCTTGTCAGCTAGATTGAATTCTGTCGCTGTGAGGAGGGAAATTCTAGTGCTTGGCTGCTGTGATTGATAGTTTTTCGTGGTTTCTCCGATCAACACCAGGTGAATGCCGGGGCAGTACCCTAACAAATGGGCCACAGACTGCATGAAATCTTTCTTACCTCTTCCTCGTCCTATCCTCACTCCTTACACTAACATGCATTACAATAGCAAACATGCTGGAAGACTGGTCAGGAGCTTAGAGCTTGTCCCGGCTGGGGCGTTGCCCCACTGGTGGGAGATTCTTGTTGGGGAAAACCCAACTAGCTGACGGTAGGTTGGCACAGCATGTTCCCATACCGCAGGGAAAGACCCCCCCTCCCATCGTCGCTACCACCACCACCACCACCACCACCACCACACCTTCTGATAAAAAACATGTACTACACTTACAGGACTAATAACCCTCGGTAGTTCACATGCCCGCAAACACTAATAATCTATCAATCGTCTTATTTAAAATGTATAAAGGTTTGTGCGAGAGACAGTCACAACCGTCTTTAGATTCTCTTTTTGGTGAAAAAAGTTATTAAATGTATTGAAATCCTAAAATAAAAATAATTAAAAATGATTATTTTTAAAACCATTTAATTTATAAATTCTCTTTAGGACCCAATACACAGTTAAATATTTGTTATGGCATTGTTGAAAATCAACATTTCAATTATTGTAACACAATCATTTAGTGAGTGGTTTGTTACTCTCTGAGATGAATCTTAAACATTCAAGGTGTTATTTTTTAGTTTTTATTGTATTGTCAGTTTATGATGAAATTTACTACTACAGTGGACTCTGTTTTTTGAACTCTTAATATTACATTGTTTTTTGGTAACTTCCTCAACATTTCAATACTCAGGGTTGGAAGATCGAAGGTACAGATTACATTTTCTCCTAAAATAAAGACTTAATATTAAATTTAATTTTATGTAAATAATTTTTATTGAACATGTTCAATAAAAATTATTTATATAAAATTAAATTATGAATGAATGAATGTATTCATTGAAGAAATAATCATTTTCATACAAATCTGAATAATTTTTGTAAAAAATGTCATTTTACCTTTATTTGCAAATCATTTAAGGTCATTTTCCTCTTACTTTTCAGTCACTTTGTAGGCTACTTTTAAAGAATTGTTTGGTCATCAGAAACCAAGCTCTGTTCATAACTATAGATATGTTCCTCAGTATTTTACAATTTTTGAACTAAACTTACCATTTACTAACTTAATATTTAACTGCATTTACAATTTGGTGTCTAAAGCCACTGTTTTTATTTACATTTGAACTTCACGAATCAGAACATTATGATACAAATTGTCTGATTTTCTTTTGTGCAATAATTTGTGGTCTACTTTTTGCAGCAAGTGATCTTGAAAAACCGCCATCTTAAGGAAATTATTGATCATCTCCGAAGAATAATATGGGAAATAAACACGATGTTAACAATGAGGCGATCTTAAGATGTGACTAAGAGTGATTTGATAATGAGGAAAGATGTAACATCCATTTTGATTTAAGAATGTTTTGATATATTTCGTACAAAGTAAACAAAAAAGTATATCTCTACTTCTTAATGCTGTACTATGTACTTATTTAATAACAATTTAGTGCATGGTACAAAAGTATTTATTATTAGTAAAAAGGTTGATTGATGTTGGTTCTCTGAAGGAAAGTATTTCAACGAGCCAGATGTTTTGTATTTTAATGAAGAGTTTTTCATTCTTCATTATTTTACATGTTGCATGAAAAATTGACCATGTTATGGATTAAACCGTGACTATGTAAAGAATATGTTTTGTTTGTGAGTATGTACACACGTATGTATGCATATACACAATGGTTGAATGTTATGAAATTCAGGAATATCAGATTGCTTCCATTGTAGATTTAAGGAAGTAGAAAACCATATATACCATGTAAATTAGTTATTGCAAATGAAATCAATACTTGTGTACATTCATTTTTTTTTTAGTTTATAATGTTAATTATTAAAAAGTGAAAGAAATAAGACAAAACAATGTGTTTAGTGTTGGGTAATACTGTTACATCAACTACTGTTTTTATAAATAAAATCCTGGAATAACCTGTTTTGCAACAGGTTTACAAATCAAATGAAAATATTAAGTTATTTTTCTTCTTAGTTTGCAAATGTGTGTCAACTCAATTTTCCACTAGTTGCCTAAATCCTACAAAGCAATGAAATGCTCAAATTTTGAGATTGTGAATTTGAGGAAATTCCAAATATGTAAACAATTTTGCATGTATATTTCACTTTTCTTATGTGTAAATGTTGACCAAGAAATTCTGTTTCCTTTTGATTCTGTTCATACGTTTGAAAATGAAGTGATGATCTCTTCAGTGTTTGTGACTAGTTTTTTAGATTAATAGCGTCATTGTGGAATAATTAGAATTTAAATAAGGGGAAAACATTGAATATAAAATGTTTCATCTTTTATTAAAATTGTCTGATGGGTTATTAAGAATGTTGGAATATGTTTTGATATACTTTAACATTTAAAGATTAAAATGAATATTATGATGTAGAACTTGTTCTTGAAATCCAGTAAGATTTCAGAAGCGATGTTTTTATTTATTAAATATTGTATTTTCTGCTATGTGGATAGTATTTATTTTCTGTTTGGTGTTCGTTGATTGAATACTTTTGTTGCCTTGATATATATAATTTGTAATGTACAAAATGTAGTGTACAATAAACTTCATACTTTGATAAGGAAATTTCTCATTGTTGTCATTGTTGTTTTATAATTATTGTTATGTTTCTCAGATAATTAAATGGAAAATCTTCACTGTATGTAGAACTACACATTTTGTGGAATTGAACTTCATATTTCATTTTGTCAACAATTCTTTAATGTTTTTACATCAGTGTATAAATTGGAGGTAATAGATCTTTGCAAGTGTTAGTTTCATCAGCACGAGAGGTTACAGTTGATGGGTTTTCTTCTTGTGTCAATAAAATATATCATAAAGAGCAATGACGAAGGGGGACTTTCAGGAACTTTACAATGTAGTGAGGGATGAAAAACCAACACATGTGATGTGTTAGTTTCTCCATCTATTTTCTTACTGTCTACTTCACATCACCTTCATTTTCTCTGTACGTTAAAAACCCACTGACATGCTTGCCATGTATGATGTCCTGTGTTGAAGGGAAGGGCACGAAGGGGTCTTGTGCTGTGCTTGCTTGCCAGCTGCCTTAATGCTTGAATCTTGAGGTAGACTCGGTCTAACTCAGCTCTGGTGAGATCAGAAAACTAGGTATGTTCTGCATACCCCAATACACTAACTTTGCTCCCAACCTCTTCTATAGGGTCAGTTGGGAGCTAGCACTTCATTTTCATTTGGCTCAGACTAGGTCTTGTACTGAACACTTGAGTGGGGGTGGGGATGTCATGGTGTCCCCCAGGTAGCACGCAGTGGACAAATGACTGGCGGTGCCTTGCCAGTCCGTGTTGCACCTCTGTAGCGACACTGGCATCACAACAGGGTGCTCATTGGGCGCCTTGATTGGTGGGGACCGTGGAGATAAACCAAAATTCTTCCTATGCAAAGACCTCCACCCCCTACCCTCATCTCAAAAGAAGAGATATTTTCAAAGCCGAGGAGAACGAGACGTTAATCTCGCATACCAGTATACCGTCTAAGCCGTGTTTTTTTCATGGTGTGCGCTGAACGGGTCGCTCTTTTGAAAGGTGCTTTTCTAATTCTCTTGCGGATTTTTTAACCTTAGGGTGAGCCAGAACGTTCCAAATCCACTGAGCTATCAAAAATGCCAGAAGTTCGGTCAACTTTTAGCGCTGCGGGTCTGCCAACCTCGAATGCGCCACGTGTTGACGAAACGCAAGAGGAAACACCAGAGACGAGGCGTCCGGTCATCGAAAAATTCACCGATGACCCAGCAAAATAAAAATAAATATCTATAGTCAAAAATTAAAATAAATATACATTTTTAATATTTATATTTATTACTGTTAAATATATTAGAGATGAATTGGATAAAACATAATTAGAAGTACACCATTTAAATGATATTAGTTAAAGAAACAGAAGAGGAGATCAAAAGGAATCGGTACTATTAGCCCATCGAATTGAGAGCTGGGACCCCGCCCCCGTTTCCGCTCGTTGACTCACTAAGTCGCAGCGGTTCGCATTCTATTGTACTCGTACGACCAAAACTCATCGCTAATTTCGGTGCATCTCGGTCCTTCGGCGATTTCCGGCCATGCCTGCAGAAAGGCTTCGTTAGACCTCACCATAGTATGAACTAGTATCGTGGGTGAAACGGGTGAAATCCAGTGTTGTTATGTGCGTTGCGTCCCGATTATTGATTTGCTGGAGATAATAGTGTACAACTGTTACCATAAGTTATGGGAGAGCTTAAAGGTACTGTGCTTCAACTCAAAAAACATTTGGTTCCCTGAAATTTGAAGAGAATCTTTTAACCGTTCCGAAAGGTCGACGCTGCCATCCATTAACAAATTTGACAACTAAAGTATACAAAACCACCAAAGAGTACACCAGACCCTTTACGGTATCAAAATATAGGCTCTCCAAGTGCCGCAATGGAAGTGTTAGTCAAAACTTTCAGGTGGACATGCTTTTTTTTTTCTTTTCTCGAAAGAGACCAGTAAAAATATTTGAGTGCCCATGAAAAATCATAAAGCCACCTTCATTGCCTTGTGGACTTATAGAGATTCGTGCCAGACAGGGTAGATGAGAGCTAAGTTGGCAATCCCACCATCTAGAAAACATTAAAAATGACTTACACCAAAGTTTTACTCGTCACACAATGCCAGAAATCGCAAATCAAATTTTGGACTAACATGACCACCTCTTACAAATTTTGAAATTTTTAACATTCCGGTTTGCTCAATTTTACCCAGCCTTTAAAAAATTTTGCTCAAGTCACCCCAAAAAGGAAATCACAAATAAAAAGTTTGTACTTAGATTTATCGTAGCTCTCCCACACGGAAATTTCGTAAATTCCGCTGTCTGGTCCGAGTTTACACAGCCCTTAAAAAGTTGTGACCTAGTCAGAAAACGTTGAGAATCGCAAATCTGAATTTTGCGGTTAAAGAAATTAGGCAATTTCCGAAAATTGAGAGTTAACAGTGAAAGTCGAACCTATACCACTCTTCTCGTAAGTGTACTATATTATTTATAGAGTACTATAAGTGTACTCTATTATTTCATGTAATTTAGAGAAAAAATTTGGAGCTATTTTTGAGAAAATTTTGGAAATGTCCCTGGGGCTTCATGTGAAGTAAATAAATTAATGAATGGTTTTCAAAATCGCAGAGCTTCGAGCGGGGCCACATCGACCGGGGAGTAATCAATTTGAAAAAAATCCTACTCCTAGTTTAGGCGCTTGGGATTTTAAGACGACGAACGGACGTTTTGAAAAAAGAAAAATACTTTTTCGATATCAAGGGACCACAAAACGTGTTCCGTCGACTTTCCGCAGCATTACATAACATTCTCTATACTACGTATACGTGAAAGTAACTAGTGCTACAGAATGACACGTTCTCGTACTAGTTTTCTAATTTCTTTGGTCTGGGCTAGCTTCCCTGTCTTTCCCATCGTCTTCCATCTGCTGCCGCCCAAATTACATTTATTCACATTTTTTCAATTTTTGCGTTCCGTAATGGTACAAGTGAAACATGACTAAATATATTATTGCGTACAACCTAGTCAAGTATGTAAATTTTCGTTGAAAAGGCCACGTCCGCGATACCGGCGTCGCTAGCAGAATTCGTCAACTTCATGAATTCACGAAGGTTAAGCGAATTCGAGTCATTGCGGTTTCCTGGTTGGGTGACCGACTAGGAACCCTGGGATCTAACGGCGCCGAGGCTAAGAACCCTTTACAGGACATACTCGCATAATGGCTTAAACAAATGGGACGTTTTCAGCGCGTTATGGATTTGCCGTTGCGCAACCGACAAGTCCAACCTCTCATCTCCACGCGGTGGCCCCCGGTAATGGATCTCGTGGCAAGAGGGATTGTGGCAGTGGCCCCGTCGATTTCCTTGCGAGCGAGTGGCTGCGGCCCCTACGGCCGAAGCCTCGAACGCGAGAGTGCATGGCGCAAGGGGCGGTGCTTATGTGGCCACCGGCATGCATTACACGGTGTGTGAAATGAAATTACCTTGTAGGTTTCGTCACACACACACACACACACACACACACACACACACACACACACACACACACATATATATATATATATATATATATATATATATATATATTCCATTTCCAAATCTTCTTTATTCCAATACGCGTGGCTGTGCCAGTCTTTTGGCTCTTCAGTATATGTGTATATGTATTGGGCTTATTGGAATGAAGATATGGAACCAAACAGAATGCGGCGCTCCGGTCGGCTCGTATGTAAGACAACCAACACATTTGTTAGATCGGTTACTGCTACTACAATGGCAGGTTATCACGATTTAAGTGAGTTTGAACGTGTTATAGTCGGCGCAAGGGAGATGGGGCATAGCATCTCCTGAATCGCGATGAATTTGTATTGTATCGCACGACCATTTCGCGAGTGTACCCTGAATGTCTGGAATCCAGTAAAACATCAAATATTCGACATCGCTTCGGCCGCAAAAAGATCGTGCAAGAACGGGACCGACGGCGGCTAAGGAAAATCATTACACGTCACAGAAGTGCAACCTTTCCAGAAATTGTTGCAGATGTCAGTGCTGGGCCATCAACAAGTGTCAGCGTGCGAATCATTCAACGAGACATTATCGATATGTGGTTTCGGAGCCGAAGGCCCATTCGTAAACCTTTGATGACACCAAGCTTTACTCCTCGCTAGGGCTCGTCAACACCGACATTGGACTGTTGATGACCTGGTCTGACAAGTCTCGTTTCACATTGTTTACGAATATGGCGACAACCTGTGATGGTGTGGGCCGTGTGCAGTTGGAGTGATATGGGAGCTCTGATGTCTACATATGACTCTGACAGGTGACACGTACGTAATCATCCTGCCATCATCTGCACCCATTCATGTCAGTACTGCATTCGCACCCCGACGGTCGTGGGCAACTCTAGCAGGACAATGCGACAACCCACACGTACAGAATCTCTGCAGAGTGGCACGAGGGACACTTCTCTGAATTTGAACACTTCCACTGGCCATCAAACTCCCCACATGTGAACATTATTGAGCATATCTCAATGCAACGTGCTGTTCAGAAGATATCTCCAGCTCTCGTACTCTTATGACGACCCTTCAGGATTCGTGGTGTCTATTACCCTCTGCACTGATTTAGACATTATTTGAGAAGTCAAGTCTTTGCCACGTCGTGTTGGCGCCCTCCTGCTTGCTCGCGGGAACGATGTTAGGCAGGTGTACCAGTTTTTTGGCTCTTCAGACTGTATATAGTGGCTATTCAGTGAGACACGAAATTAATCACACAATAGCATTAACACTTTTCATTCACAGTTCATTTACATTAATTTATGCTTTTTCTTTTATTTCGTTATAGTTCATGCAATTTTCTAAATTGAAATTGGCTTGTTCTTTATACAGACTTTTTTTCTGAATTTCTTTAATTAACTTTTAAAAGTTTAGACACCTCAGGCATTTATTGTCATTGTTCTCCGGTTACTCATTTGGGCTCATATTCACTATCTGGCTGTATTATTCACGAGGTGGCAGAAAGTACCATTTTGTCCAGGCAGGAGCGTATCTCTTCCGCATCCACGGAGCAAAATATCGCTG